AAAGAAAGAAAGAAAGAAAGAAAGAAAGAAAGAAAGGAGAGAAAGAGGGAGGGAAGGTTGGCCACAGCAACGTGTGGTGGGTACAGCTAGTAAAATGTAAAAGTAGGCTTAAAAACCATCAAAGACATGGGCATCAGAGCTTTTCTTGGTGCCCAAAGGATGCCATACAGCTCACGGAGAATAGAAATTAATGGTTTCCATATCAGTTGCGTGATGAATCCATTCCATATTTTAGTATGAATTTTAAAGGGAATATTTATGTTGGACCTAGTTGGGGATAATGTCCAGGCTCTTGCAAAGCTCCCTTCAAGCTCAGACTCAAACCCAAAACAATTCCTTCTTCTGCTATATGTGCAGCTGTGAACACCCACATATTAAAGTAAACCTTTGCTCATGGATTCGAATTTGTAAATATATACCAATTTCTGGAATTGAGTCTTATGAGGTCTTATTGCTCACAGGAACACCTGACAACAACAATTCTGCATTTTCCTGGCCACTGCTCCAACAGCTGTCTAACGCTACACTGAAAATTGCATATCGTGGTATCTTCAACCCAACGACGTGCCTCAAAATCCACAACGTCGTCATGTTCATTGTTTCCAAAGATCATTATCCCGTCTATGATGTGTAAGTGCCATTTCTGAACTCCATACGTATACAAGGACAGAACTTAGACAATGCAAGACTTCATCTCTGTCTCTTCCCAGCAACAACCTGTATAATACAAACCTTGAGTTCGACTGGGGAGGTTTCCGCCGACTGGAAGAGGAGGTCGCATTGACCGCAGATTCAAGCCAATTCCTCCTCTTCTTCTACCGGTTTCGTGATCCAGGGACCTACGTCTTGAGCCTGAGCAGCAACCGGCACCGACGAATGGTTCGTTTCAGGTCATAGCATGATATTATTACAAAAGTAGACTTCCTCAGCCAATGTTTAGGAGCACCTGCAACAGTGAAGGAGACCATAAGCCATGTTTTGGGGCTTCTGGGGTACTTCAGACATACAGGCTTATAGGTTGCATGCATATCATATTAGGAACGCTGCAAGGTACCGGAATGGACTGCTGTACTTGATAAACAGGATGATTGACCAAGGCAGGCTTCCTCCAGAACAGCTACCTGCTTGACCACAAGTTACATATTACCCCATAGTTGCCTGGAACTGGCCAACCACAAGAACACAGTTACTCTATAGGCTTCTTGAAACAACAACTGACCACAGGGTATAAATGTTGCTACATGTTTACTGGTAACTGACCACAGGGTTGACCACAAAGGTACAAGAGGTGTATTATTTTACTGGAAAGTGGTTGCTAAATGCATTGTCAAGGGTATATAAACCCAATGTTCATCCCAGTCGGGGCGGCAGCTTGGTACCAGCATACTGCGTATTATGCTGTCTGTCCGCCTTCCTATTGTGCAATATGAATCAACTGTGTCTTGCCCTAACTTGTTTGGACTCCGATTTGTGATCCATAGTGGTTCCGGCTAAGATCCTGAAGGATAAGATTGTGGGAACACCGTGTTTTCCCCTACAACAGGTGGAAACTGGTCCCTTGTCCCACATCTGATTTGTCCTTCTTCATGTATCAAGTTCGTTCTCTTCTTTCCTGATCATGTCCTTTTCATCATTAGCCACATATTTCAGAGTATGACACACACACACTCTCTGCCTTCTTCTCTCCTCCAAGTGATTCTCAGAGCACAACTTGGATAAGTTACTTTTTCTTGGATTGCGTCAAAACTCCCAAATGGCCAGGGACACTTGATCCCAAAATGACTTTCCAGCTCTGCTTCAGAAGGTAATTTTCCTTTAGGTCTGATGACAGAAAGGAAGCATTGCATTCTTCCGTTGCCTTTCCATGCCTGCCGTGATCCCAATATCTCAACCCACTTCCACTGCAAAGGCAGTTTTCATGTTAAGAAACTTCCCTGTTAATTGACAAGATATGTCATTTCCAAAATATACATCCCTCCTTCCAAAAG